TTGGAGGCTCAACACGCGACAATTCTTACGCAGTCACACTTTCTTTCGTTATCATAGATTCTTCTGATGAAGATACTTTGATTGCGCTAACATTGCTGATAAAAATACAAACAAGAAAAAAAACACACCAGAATATAATTTTCTCTTTATTTCCTTTTTAATACATATTTTTTCTTTTGGTAAATGTTTTACGGTGCTCGAAACTGCATAAGGTCATATGAATGCGCGGAACACAAACATTATCATTTGGTAGGAAATATTGAATTTTGCCCTGGTGGCGGCCGAACCCTACTCTTATCGACTTTGGACCACCAAGTGGTCTCTGACGTGCGCAACTTGCACACAGAACCTCCGAGATTTTGCGCCCTTGTCCGAGAGGGCTAGGTGTATATCTTTCCTACCATAAGATCAGTGGTGTGGCTGAAAGACAACAGTAGGAAGGGGCCAAGGAGTAGCATTGGAAAGGCTACAGAAAGAGCCAGAAGACCAGAGAAGGGGGCAAAGACGAAAGCAGACGACAGAACATTGCTAGAGAGCAGGAAAGGAGGTGAAAGGAGACAATTTTTCAGAAGAAAATGTTTCGTCACAATCCGGATTTGAGCCCGGAACCTATTGAATGAGAGGCGAACACCTTAACGCCTAGGCCACGAGAGACCCCTTTCTCTTAATAAGGAACAAAGAGGAGAGTTTAAACGAATGTGCCGTGTGACGTGAGTCCAGTGCCTTCCTTTGGAATATTGGCCTTATTGAAGTGAGAGTTAAAAGTGAGCATACCTCTACAGTGTAACAGTAACAACAATGGAATTTTCGTTGTCAATAGTATACCAGTTTTCACAAATTACATGCATTTAAATAAAGGCCGAAACAAGCAACAAAATCATGTGGTTCATACATGTGTGCACACGTAAACAACTAGATGTTAAAGATTAAGAAAGACAAAACTATTTAGATATTCAGGCTTAAGCGTTTGAGAGCCCATATATGTAAATCTTTAAATTGCTGCATTGTTTCATAATCTTTATTAAAATACCACTGAGACAAAACTTAACGCTGTTTGTCTTTCAGCTACACTGGCTATACAATGTATATTCTTATTAAGAGTTGTTTTCCTCTGTCAAGGGTTCAGTTGTGATCAGGAGAAAAAACGTTATCACAAATCGTTAGAATACAGAATGTCATTGTGTCAACTTTTTGACAACTTAGAGAAGTGCAAAGTGCTGTGCATGGTGTACATTATACCTAACCAACATTTTAAAATCAGAGTGTGTCGTACATCGAAGATTTCTGAATGAACCTGACAATTCCTACCCCCTTCCCTCTTTCCTCCTCCTCCTCCTCCTCCTCCTCCTCCTTCTTCTTCTTCTTCTTCTTCTTCTTCTTCTTCTTCTTCTTCTTCTTCTTTTTGAAGGAGAAGGGCTGGAAAAAAGGGGGGTGGGGTGGAAGCAGGTTTTCATTTAGTCTGATTGTTCCATAATGTTTTTGAACTGACTATGGATGTTTTGAACATTGGGCTCGTTTTGGTCCTGGGTGTTTATAAAGAGAAGCCTTTTTCAATGTAATTTAATGGTTCTGAGGAGAAGCAGATCGTAGGGGTTCAGTTTGAATACATGTACTTTGCTCAGGATAGGTGTAGTGAAGTTTGTTGGGAAAGAATAAGCCAACGGCCAGTAAAGGAAGACATAAAGGTGAAGAAATGGAAATGGATTAAACACACCCAGAGGAGACCTCCGACAAGCACCATCAGGCAGGCTTTAACGTGGAACCCACAAGGAAAACGTAAGAAGGGAAGACCGAAGATGACATGGAGGCGAGCGGTACAAGCGGAAATTGAAAAAGCGGGGACATCATGGAAACAGATAGAAAAGGATGCTCAGGACAGGCTTCGCTGGAGTAATGCTGTTGATGGCCTGTGCTCCACTGG